AGAATAAATAAAAGATATTGGTATAAGGCCCTCAAAAAGGAGGTTTAGGTATGCCTAATGTAAAAAATTATTTTATAGCAAATCAATTAAGATTTATTGGAGAGATTATATACAATAAAGAAAAATTAATTTGGTGGGATACGGAATCCTCAGAAATAAATGGGAATGTTGAAAAATACTTGTTTAATGTAGTAAAAAGAAATACAAAAAATCAGATAAAAACCCATTTTAAGAAATATGTTATATATAGGGAATAGATATAGTCGTTTAGTCGTGTCCGACTCTTCGTGACCACATGGACCAGAGCACGCCAGGCCCTCCTATCTTCTACTGCCTCCCGGAGTTGGGTCAAATTCATGTTGGTTGCTTATATGCAGAATACATCATGCGGAAGGCTGGACTGGAGGAATCCCAAGCCGGAATTAAGATTGCCGGAAGAAATATCAACAACCTCCGATATGCAGATGACACCACTCTGGTGGCAGAAAGTGAGGAGGAATTAAAGAACCTTGTAATGAGGGTGAAAGAGGAGAGTGCAAAAAACGGTCTGAAACTCAACATCAAAAAAACTAAGATCATGGCCACTGGTCCCATCACCTCCTGGGAAATAGAAGGGGAAGATATGGAGGCAGTGACAGATTTTATTTTCCTGGGCTGCATGATCACTGCAGATGGAGACAGCAGCCACGAAATTAAAAGACGCCTGCTTCTTGGGAGGAAAGCGATGACAAATCTTGACAGCATCTTAAAAAGCAGAGACATCACCTTGCCAACAAAAGTCCGAATAGTCAAAGCTATGGTTTTTCCTGTAAATTAGACTGAATTAGAAAATTTTCCTACAAATTTAAAGGGTTTAGTAGAATTATTTAAGGATAAAAAGGTTGCAAGATTGAAGGATTGGATGAGTAAAATGAGATTGAAGGATCAGATTATGATTAAACAAACTAATAAACTATCATGGTATAATTATATTCAATTAGACAGTTGGACAAATGAATGGTTGAAAACTACTAGTAAATGTAGAAAATGTACTAAGTACGAACAATTTTTATCATCACATGAAGATATGCAGAAAGATGTTTTGATGAAGGGAGTAGTAAGTAGAATATATAACTTAATTTTGGAACAAGAGGAAAAAGTGATAGGAACAGAAGGTTTGATATTAATTTGGGAAAATGATTTAAAGACAGAAATTAAAATAGAGGATTGGATTAAAATGTGGAGAATGAGAGTTTTAAGGCTAGTATCAGTAAGAATAAAGGAATTAATATATATGTTTAAAAAGCAAAAGCAAAAAGTGTGCTGCCCCATAGTGCTTCAAGCACTCTCTAGGTGATTTACAAGTTAATTATGCAGGCTACACATTGCCCTCCTCCCAGCGAGCTCGGAAGGATAGAAGGCTGAGTCAATCTTGAGCTGGCTACCTGGGATTGAACCCTGGGTCATGAGCACAGTTTTAGCTGCAGTACAGCAGTTTAACCACTGTACCACTAATGGCCAGTCTGGCCATTAGCAGGGTTGGTAGCATGCTGGGGTGGGGTGGGGGTAAGGTGTCTTTTCTCAAACTGAACCAGTTGCTACCCCTGCAATGCTGTTGTTCTCCCTGGTAAAGACTGTTTTTGGCCACTTGTAGTGCTAAGCATTATGCACTTAGCTATGTGAAAAGCAGCTGCCCTGGGAAAATGACCAGGTGACTAAAGAAAGAAAGCACCCATACCCTGCCTCTGCTGCCACTACTCTTCTCCTCTTCCTCCTCAGGCAGTGGCATGGGTCCACACACATCATGACAAGGAAAGGACGGAAGCAACCATGTTTTTCTTCCTATCCAAGGTGCTTGTGCTTGAGATGATCCCTGTAGCCATAATGTTCTGTTTTAATTATCTAGGTGACTTTGGGATGACAGTCTTTTTCCAGAATGACAAGTAAATTTGATGCCACATGATGCTACTTGAATTATGATGGTCATGACAGACAATCCTTTCCTCTCAAAGTTATTTTCTCTTGACCCTCATCCTGAGTTTCTTTATCAGAAGGCAGCTTAAACTCTGGAATTCCATATCAAACTCAATCTTTATTGTAAGATAAGTGAGAAAAGGAACACTTATGATGGGGTTATCAGAATCCCTCTGGGCAAATTCTGTTAAGTAACAAAGCCAGAAGAACAATTGTGCAAATTGTGAAGAATATTTCAGAAGGAAGGAAGGATTCTATTTCACTGCAACAGCCATTCACCTACTTTTGTAATACGTAGCTGTCTTCAGTGTGCTGTTGTGTAGAGCAGAAACACATAAAGACTGAAAGACAGGTGTCCAAACACATTCTGTATAATGCAGAGTGAGTCTACCATTCCATAGAAACTCATTGGCTGAAATCCACTGAAATCCTGTTTTAGTGTAGAAAGTTGCAACTAGACAGGTCCCATTGAATCAAGGGAATATATGGAGGAGTTGACTCACAACATCCCCACTGATTCAATAGGCCTACTCTAGTTGTGGCTTACTCTACTAAGCAACAGATTTCAGGCATTGTATTATTTAAAGGAGCTCAGGACATTGTGCAGATTCTTCACTTTTATCCACATAAAACTTGTGTTGGAGCAGAGTAGACAAAGATATAGTGACTGGCTTAAGGTCACTCAAGGCTGGATAGAAATGAGAACCTATGTTTTTATGTTTCATATTTAGAACATTTTGGATATGAATAATTAACTGCTAGAAAGGTGGGAAAGTTTTCCTCATTCCACTCAGTCAAAATTTTGCTTTTCCATGAGAAGTCCATTCCGAATAGTGTATTGCTAAGAGGCATAAGTTCTTTTTAGGGGATTTGGAGGCAATAAGCACACTGAAAGAGTGAAGGATAAAGATTTTATTAGCAATTCACAAAAAGTAAGATGACAATGCCTACATCTTTTCTGCTGTCAGGTGCCTCTCCAAAAAGGATTATATATATTATGGGTCTACATAAGGGAAGGGCAAAGTCACCCCACTCCTAGCATGCATGTAGTCCTCAGGGTTATTCTTGCAAGCCCTAGCCTTCTCTTTTTTCCATCCTCACTACTTCACAAAGACATGAGATTCATCAGTCTTGACGCTGTCACTCATGGAGATGTAAATGGTAGTCTTGAGTCTTAATTTGATCATGATAATGGAAAGATCTTGACTGTGCTTGTAATGGAAAAATTGCTTTCTTACATTATAAAATAGTTATACTCTATATAGTTTCAGATCCTCAGATCATCAAGCAAGGGTAGAAAACAAGATGAAGCTAGGCAGGCCTTTGAGGTATTGGCAAGAGTTTCTGTCCTTTTTAGATAAGAACTAGCACAGGAAACACCTAAAATTGGGTTTCCAGATACCGTTAGACCAGGCCAAGGAGCCTCCTATTTTCCTTATTTTGCTGGAGCACTTATGTCTGGTTATATGACTTTCTGAGTGCTTCTGTTACTGGGGACTCCTGCTTCCCTTTTATCTGATACATACAGATGTTAAACTACGTGTGCAATTCTGCATTTGCTATATTGCGTTCTGCCTGGCCCCCTGATTGGAAGAAGATATAATATTTGATGTACTGTGGGTTGGCATTTGTTAAGAGATAAAGGGAGTCTGAAAGCATGTGGATTTTTTTAAAAAAATATTTATTTATTTGCTTTTGTCCTGTATATGGTAAGCATCTGTTGTTTTGTAAAATTTGGAATACATTAGACAAGGCTTCCTTGCAATTGCATCTATCTTCTGATTTTTTCCACTTGGGCAGCGAATTAACAGTGGGTGAAAAGTCCACAACAGTTCTTGCCCAAATAGAACACCAGATCTAGAATGTGCCCTGCTACATGTGTTGGCCTGTTACTCAATTAGACCCATGCTCCCTGTGACAGACATGAAGCCCTGCACTAGGCATTTAAGCGTAATGATATTGAAGTCCTGTAGAACCAATAGTTGCTCCATAACCATCTACAGAAGTTCAGACAAGGAGACTTTTGAGTAGCAAGATGTACAGTACATCAGAAGCCAAGTCCAATTTCAAAACCCTGCACCAGGTAACGTGACACAAAACTAGGAGCAACTGCATCCCCAGAGTAAACTGCTACATACACAGCCAAGTGTCAGGAGGGATATGTGGTTCTGGGTAAAAATTATTCATATTTTTAAGTTAACTTGTAACTTCTAAAGCTTGGAAGTAAGTAGCTTCAGAAAGTTACCTACATCATATAATAGTGAAGATGTAACTAAGTTACATTTCTACTGTAGCTTAATGCCCAAAATTCCATTGCTTAGCTCAGTACATCATATAACACCCATTGAATGAATGGGAATTTAGTGAGTGAACTGTGACTTACTTCAGGATTGTTAAGTCATAGAGTCCATTTGACTCAATGGGGCTTCTGTATGAATTGACTCATTAAATCCCCATTGATTCAGTGGGCTACTCTAGGGTTTTGACCAATGAGTAATAACATCACTCCTTTTGCAGTGTAATCAATGTTATAATTACTTTTATAGCGAAAAGAATGTGGCCTCACTAAATTGTGGAGGATAAATACTACATGGTTCAAGAACTGGCTCATGCTGGGTCTCCTCCTATTTTACATTTGTTTTTTGTTTAAGTAAACTAAAAAGTTACTTTTGAGAAATGCCATATGAAATATTTACTTTTTTTACTATCCCTTTTTTTTTAAAAAAAAATGAAACTATAGCAGAGACTAACTGCTCCTTCTTTTTTTTGCCTTAGAAACTAGGCAAAGTTTAAAAGTTAGAAATAAAAAAAATTGTACTGGAGCACATTAAACAGTAAGAGATTTATTTCAGTGTGTACTTCCACACAATACAATCTTAGAATATAATCTGAACCTGTTATGCTTGTATACATGTGTGTGTGCATGTGTGTGTTTCTGCTTTCCGTATCAGGAATTCTTTCCTTTTCAAAATTGGCTCTTGAGAGGGTAAGCAGAGCATCAAATGCCAGAAATACATTGTTCTTCTCCACTCCCAACACTGCTTTTATAAAAGGGGCCACCTCCAGAGTGTCTTTGCTAAGGAGGGTTTAACTGAAATAATACAGAAGACAGACTTTGTGGTATGACTTTTACTGAGAACTTCCAAGTTTTGACAGTTTATAAAGTGACTTGGTTGAATATGAAACTTCCAAAAGGCCTTGATCAGCTGTTTACGTTTAATGTACATATGCTTAAAACATTTTCTCCAAACTGTCTTACAATGATTTGATCATGTCCTCCTTAACAAGTGCAAGGAACAAAGCTTCTCAACAGATGTCTCATGCTGCAGCTGAATGTTAACTTGAATATAATGTAACATTTCCTGTTGAAGTACAAATGGGAAATTCAATAGGCTCTCCAGGCCAACAGAGCAGAAAAGAAACTTAGAAGACTTGTTCTGTGTGTGTAGATTTTTTTTCTACCCTTGAAAGCTTAATTGGGAGAAGTAAGGGCTAAATGTTGAATATATTGATTGTGGATCTGGTAACCTCTCACTGTAGCTCAATGTGTAGAACAATATGGCCTTTTAAAACTTACCATGAATAAGTTTAATGTATGCTCTCTGGTTTCCTTGTTAAAGAACACTTGCACCTTAGAAGTATTTGAAGAGAAAAATGTATTATTTGTTCTCTGTATCCAGTAATCACTACAGGTAAAATCTGATGAAAACAGGGGCCCTGATACAATTAGAAAGGAGTACCTGGTGGGATGGTGATTTTCAGTCAAGCAAAATGGAGGAAAGGGAAACATATTAATAATGGGGGAAACTGTCAGAGCACAATACAAATGTCGGTGATCAAACACTATTAGAGATGTGAAGGTATTAGAAAACCCATCAGTCATCATACTGCTGAGGTATCTATTGTGGGGTGTGTGGGCAAAGTTTTAGTCATAGAAACTGGTACCCATCAACACCCTCAACCCCAAATTTAGATTTTTTTAATTTTTATAATAATCAGTTTTTAAGTAGCAAGTGCTCTGCCACAAAAGAAAGCTCCAGCCCTATCTTTTTTTTGAAAATCTTCTCTACATCCAACATGGCATTCCTAACAGTTAAAAAACAGTGGATGGTGGCATTGTTCTGCATGTTCAACTACCCAATAGAAAAGAAAATGGAATCCTGGAGTGGTGTGGAGCATTCTAGGGAAGCTAAAAGTGGTGGCAGAGAATTAGGAGAATATTTTGCCTGTGTATTGTGCACATATGTTTTTCACATGTACGTATGTTAGGTTTTGCTGTAGATTGTCTTGCCTGGTATTACTATGTTTGAAAGGCGAGAGGAGAGTACAGAAGCTCTTGTTGGAGTGTTGTCCATCTGTAGGGTCTCTAAAGAGATCACCCCTCCGCCAACCCCTCGTGAGAGCATGCATTGGGGAGTAGACACCCGGGAATTGGAGGAAAACCTACAAGGCTTAACTGTAGCTACACAGACTGAAATAGAATTGGTGGGAAAAGAGGAGAGGGGGAGGTCCATAATAGAGGTGGGAATGGGAGAGATAAAATGGGAGACAGCATACCCGGGGGGGGGGTTGGGAACTGATCTGGGTAGAGGATCCTTGGATGGGCAAATGGGAGAAGGTAAAGGTGCCCCGGGAGGAAGCTATCATTGGAGAAAGGTGCTATGCCAGTGACCGTCCTACTGGGGGGAGTCAGAGGCATGAGAGTGGAGGAGGAGGCTGAAAGGGGAGAGAGAAGCAGTAGCTAGGGAAGCCGAGGAATGCCGGGCATGGCGTGCGGAGGAAGCACGGAGGATAGCATACCTCCAGGACCGGGGGTTCATTTGAACGGGAGGGGGAGTCGCTTTGGGAGCCCTATTAATAGGGGATGAAGAAGAACACCTTCACCCAAGTTATGATCCCTTTTTGCCTGGACCATGGGAAACCAAATCTTTGAACCCCTTGAACCTGATTTTTGGTTGCCCTTGCAGTGCCCATTGGCACTGCGAGAAAATTTACAAGAGCCGTTAAAAGAAGTTTTACATTTAAATGTGGATTTCACTTTAAAAACAACTCCTGTTTTATTTGATAAAGAAATGGAGCCTAGATATGAACCCTCACACTATGTTTGCTCTCTTGGCGTGTTCTTGCCTACTTAAGAGTTGTTGCTGCCTTTAAGTTACTATGGGTGTGAGGAGTGGGTATGTGTTAACTGTTTTCTGTCTTGCCTTCTGTGAAAAAGTTATTTTGCTGTGCTTTGTGGACTAATAGATCATTGAAGCTCAAATGTTGTCTCTCCTTTGTGTTTAGTATCTTGGCTGCTATAAATAAGTATTACAGGAATTGTGTGGTGATTCCACATTATATGTATTTACTGTAGGTATGTATTGATATCCACAGTGAGTGACTGGACTTTGATTAGTTGTGGTAAGTTGGATGTGTGTCAGGAGAGTCTATTAAAGCCAGGTTGGGGGCAGAGAATGGAATGTGGACAGATAAAACTGTGTTCTAATGGGCTTGGCTGTACAGTCACTGTTTTTTAAATACAGTGGTGCCTCGCATAACGTTTTTAATTGGTT